TGTACGTAACCAAAATTCATTCTCATATGTAGCTTATTTATTAACGTGAGTTTGGCCGATAATTATATATGAGGTTTGGTGGCGTTTATATTTCATTAACATCATTATACGATCAAACCGGAGTCAGATCAACGGAACACTCGATCATGTGTAGATATCCAAATATTACGTTTACTTAAGTGTTGAACACAATAAGTGCAGTCATAGTTTGGGCTGCCATGCAGTGTGGTTCGTACGTTTAGAGTGCTTTTAATAAATGGACGTAGTGTGTGATTTGAGAAATGTTTAATATGTGAACAATATTTACCATCTAGTGCTACGGCTTCTCTCATTAACTGACTTTGTTCCTTAGATTTTTCTTATTTCCTTGTTACAGTAGTCTCAGTCTGTTTAAAATCGATGCTGCTTCATTACGTGGTATTTCTCTGCATTACTTCACATCATTACATATATTCATTCCATACCTGATTGTTATATCGCAATTATCTGACTTATAAATGTAAATATAACGTGGATGTAAAGTGGCTTAGATAGACTGAGATGCGTACAGTTAAACTGCTTTAGTTTTGCGTATTTCGACATCAAACAGTTATCGGCCGATTTTTGATATATAATTCATTAAAAGGCTAATGTATCTAGCCGTAGTGTAAAATCTTAAAGATTTTTTGTCGAGACCTTTACTGACAGTCAGTCAGTCAGTTACTGACGAGGAGATCATTTTCCACGTTATCTATCATTTAACCAATACTATCATCATAACGTAGTCGAGTTATTATATCTAAGTAACATAAAAGAAATTCACTCCACAATGATCCAAAGTCCCACATACTTTTTATAATAAAGCTCATTAATTAATTTCGTAATAAGGTCGTTAACATAAATGATACAAGCTAGTACATTCGATTTATAGTTAGCATAGCTGGATTTAGAAAATGTGTGACATATATGAGTGCCTAGGTAAAACTGAATAGTATCTCTATTGGATGTAGACATCAATCAACAAATAACATGTGGGTAACGTTGATTCGTTCAGCTCCGTGCACGTAGATGGTTATCTGTAAAGAGGTTTTCCTACGATACTGAACTTCGTCAAAAAAACTATAATCAGAATTAGGAAGCCATTCCTGAAAAAATATTTATCCAATTAAATTACCAGATATATCTATATTATATGTTCCTGTTGAGCCACCTTACAAAATACGTCAAGTCATCTGAGAAAATAAACAATAAAGTGAGTATAGAGCAGAGTGTTTCAGAAAAAACCCATTGATATTTAACGCACTGATATTACAGATTACCAGGCACCAAATAAAATATAATCTGCCGGAACATAATCCATGAACAAACAGAATTACTATATACTTTCATTAAAACCTCAGTCATTGCACTTTTAACCATAGGAACTGTCTTATTTTCAAGTGCATATATCTTGCGAACATACAGTTAAGTCTTTTATCTTTCGTATCAGATACGGACAACATACTGTACACGACGGCTAAACTGAAGACAAATTTTGTTGTCGATATAAGTATTGAGATATTAAGTTATTAGCTTCAATCTAAGCACCAGAAGGAGAGGAAACAAAGGCAAGCTCTGGGGAAATGTTTTGGGAGAAGTCGGAGTGAATATAGGCAAAAGTGTGTCAAAATGTCATCCTTTTCCCAAGTCTGGGGTAAATAATAAGTATTTCTCCCAAAATTTACACTTACTTTTACTCAAAATTGACACGGAATTGAATGATCTTTCGAAGTATCAATAAGTGAAGTAATTAATTTTTTGCAATACTTTATGTCATAGAATACTGTGTACTTCGAAAGTTAGCTTTCAGTTCCCTGTGTCAAACAAACTATATGAGCACTCGACAATAATATTATTATTACTATGTTGGTATCAATATGGTGATTTAAATGAGAAAAAATTATTGCCAATTTTTTGTGACCTGAAAATAATTTAACGAAGTAGTAATAATACAGAACTTCAAAAAGAAAATCAAGGATCCAAATTCAAAGTTTGCAACACGGGATTGTATTGTATTATGATAGGTTTAAGCAAAATATAAAATATTTAGTTGAAGGGCAAGGGCACTGATTTTTCACCACAAATATCACAAGTTGACTGTCTGTTCGTATGTCTAAAATGAAGTCCGCGTTTATTTACAATTGTCTTGGGTCATTTAAATTTTTCGAAAATCTGATTTCTATCACCTCCACCGAACTGAAATTCGAAATTATCTAAAGAGTCCTTAGTGACAGAAGAATTATTAGAATTAAAATTGGAATTATTTATCTGAAGTTTGATTAAATGTAACAACTTTTTGTAGATGTTAAAGCAAAACCAGTTTTGTTAATAGCACTTTTAACAGCGCTGACTATCTATAAACCTTGAGATTCGTAATATGTGTTTAATATTCTTCAGTGATGTTTATTTACCAGGTGCCTAGCTTGCAATTACGTGTCAAAATGATTGTGCTGGGAAACAGTCTAAATGATTGTAATGAGTATCTAAATGAATCTAATTCGTATTTTATCATTTAAAAATGATAAAGTTCAGCTGATAGATAGGACTTTGGATTCTATCCACACAAATAGTGGTATTAACTACTGGTGATATTGGTGTGTTCCTTGAAGTAATAACGTTTCACGTGTCAGTGGTTAGTTTTCGATGTTATTTTTTTGTGATAGAAGGTGCTTATTCAGGTAACTGCTGATTATAGTTGAGTGTTTTCTGAACGATATTGGTTGGTTTGTCGTCTAACGTGTCCTAAAATGATTCTAGTGTTCTAAATGTCTAAATCCAAAATCCAGTAACTTGACTAAATTGATGAAAAGTCCTGTTTGTTCTGCATATAACTTTTTCGAATTAAGGAGGAACGTATAGACATTTTCAATAGAAAGTCGGGATTCAATAAATTGAATTAGGTTTTGTTTGTTTATTTAAATACAAATATTGATACAAATGGGCACTGAAATAAATCTTTGCCACACAAATAATTGAATGAAGTCGTGTGAAGATAGACAATGGAGGGTTAATATGATAAAAAAAACAATTAAGTGAATAAGTGAGTGAACAGGAAAAACAGTACATGTGAAAAAATATTCCGAAATACTACTTTTAGTTACAGAAGTCCCTCTTGTTTTCCAGAAGTGAAACAAAATTACAACAGGACTGAGCTATGTCTAATAATATCTCAAGACATTAGTTTACACCAATGGATTACAGTCTTATACAATGTTTTTTCATACCTCAGCAGCGTGTCATAAACTGATCATTCCTCCGCTCTCGCTAACCGAACCCAGTGTCAGGAAACAAAGCACGATGTGGAAGTCGCTTGGAAGACATTTGAAGTACATATTCAAACCACTGGAGCCAGTATTTCAACATGACGAAACTAATCGGGCTGTTGTCACCACCCCCCGAACACAGATATCCGAACCTCTGCATTACTAACATGGTGTTACCTCTAAATGCTGACAGTTTATTCGGAGATAACGATGATCAAACACAGTCACTGAAGGTCCTTAGCCCGAATTCTTTCTAGACATTCATGATCTTGTAGTGACCTACTTTTATCAAGAGAACGCGATTGGTTTAATGGAAACAATTATTATTATAACCAATTGTACCAGTGATTGTTTTACTGTACTTGTTTGTTTAACTGTACTAAAGACTCTTCCTTCAGTTGATTGTGACATTGCACAAATTCGGTTACGCTCAGTAACCACACTTGTAACCTGGCACGATCTCAGTATTCTTTCGATACCACAAGATCGCCAGCAAATACATCTCGACTACAGCCATCAACTGCCTTCTGATATTTGACTTACGGGGGATCTTGTCGGTTAATTGGCACGTAGTCTTTCTGTAGTGGTGATCATAGTCAACCGCGACTCGACGCCACACTACAATCTCTGTTCATAGTTTGTTTTATCCCAGTGGTGTCATGTATTCAAATAACCGAACAAAATCCCAATTAGTGTATCTCAATTCAGCTAAATTTAGGTCTATAAATCAACCCGCTGTTAGTAATACTACATGAATTTCTTGACGGTATGCAAAATGTTGGAATCTGCCACTCGGCAATTGAAAATAAGTACATGAAATATTGAGGTTTAAAGGCTTTTATTTAAACCTACTTGCTTGGATCAGCTGTGACTATATAATCATACTAAACTATGTTTGCTTTATAGTTACTCTGTGACTAGGTTGAAAATTAAGACTTATTCTTACACACAGCTTTTAGGAAATTTTACATAAAATGTTTCTATGGTTTCACCCAAATATATCTCAGGTACCGAAATGTCTTTATTGAAGTTCAGATTTTTATAAAGAACTCTATCCTACTTCAGTCTGGGAGGTGGTGCTATATATCTATATCATGGCTCAGATTTTAATGCGTAAACCTATACTCAGTAAATAAGCTGTATTAAAGTATACTTACCGTAAGAGCTCGTAGACAATAAAATAACGAGTGATCCTTGAAATCCCGATTTCAGTGTGCAACCTGGTAAAATTATGTTCGTTTAAGGTCAGAAGGTGATGTTATATTATTATCCTATATTCACAAATGCATACTCACGAGCTTCGAGACCAATTTTGCCCAAATTGAAACAAATATACAGATACGTCATATTAGGTATTATATATAATCCGATTTTTAATTCCAACTTTTCCGTTTCGTAAAATTAACTGGCACCATTCAACTAACTATAAAATACTTATTTTGTTCCTTTTTGACTCAAACCAATGTTTATTCAGGCTGAACTCACTTCACATTAAAAAAATCTAAGCGAACAATCGTATCCATTCTTCTTGGGGCAAGTTTAAATGATTGGATGAGGTAAATTTATTAACATCCAATAAGACGCATTTAACAAAATCTGTTCTTTCACCACTATATTGACTTTTAAACTTATTCGTTCTATATTCTTGTTTATTGTTTTGTAAAATTCAGGGTTTCTGAACAAAAGTGTTATTGTGGTGCGTCTACCTGCTCTGGTGTAATGGGGGCGACCAGCAAATATTTGCAAGAAAAAGTTCGCATGAAAGATACTACAATGGTATGTCATGGATTGTTCGTGCGTGCAATGTATCTTTTTGTGATTTCTTTTTATGTACTTTTATCGCCAACACTTCGTAACTGACAGCAGTTAAATTTGTCCTAAATGGCGAAACAAATCCAGTTTGAAACAGTCAAAAATGCATAGTCAGTTTGGGATAAAATACTCATCGTTTTGTTACTGACTTCTGAGCAAAATTGAAAGCTAGACATTTTGCAGTAAAATATCAATACGATGACTTAAGTTTTTCTCATTTTCGACCTTATACTACCTGTTCTTAGGCGTCCTTTTTTCAAGTATCAATTATCATGACATAAGTACACTTTTGAATTGAGATAAGGCTTAGCAAAATATTCTTACTGCTACTCAATGTGTCATAATTCGAACCACAGTTACCAGTGACTTAGGTTTTGAGCGATTAAGTAGTTATATGATAATCTTGCAACCGTAGCTTCAGGTTAGGATTTGTAAGTTAGATACTACTCCTTCGGACTAACAAAAATACACAAAAAACTAACGGACAATTTTCCAGTGCTACTCAAGGGGGTAATATGACACAAATAACTCTATGTTTTGTTGCAGCACTTGCGTGTGTCGTGCATGATTCTATACTATTATCTTCATCATAAGTTCAGTAAGTAATTTAGCGTCTCAAGCGATTTATATTTTTATCTTGTCGATGTTTCGTCAAAACCAGTTGTATCATTCACGTGGGTAACTAAATCGAATGTTTCATTGAGCTGAGTTATTGCTGAGTTAATTTCTTGTCATCATTTAGTGCTTTTATGAATCATATCTTGGATAGATCTAATGAAAGATCCCACATAATGTATCTTCACTGATCAAGTTTACCAAGTATCGAGTTACGAAAACCTGCACCCGGCTGATCTTCCCCACTCCGTTAACATGAGTCTGCGTGTTTGAATTTGCCGTAAGAAATATAGGTCGTAACAACCTGCCAGTTATATATATATACGACCAAGGAGCCGATTGAATTCTAGAACAATGCTGTCTTAATATCTATCTTCCAAAATATGGAACAAAATATTGGTAACTGAAGACAAATTTCTCATAAAAGAAGTTTTGGTAAGAAGTTGGAAGACAAGCTGAGGTTTGCTTACATCTTGTATGGATTGGTCGTGTTTATCTTTCCATAAGTCCCCGAACACTTTCACATGTGTTGCTGGTCAATAGTAAATGTCTTTAATCTTGTTAGTACTACTGTAAAACAAGGCAATGAACAAAAGGGATTTTTATTGTAAGAAATTACACTGTATGTATGCATAACCTCTGGTCATCCATCTGCATCTTGCGGTGTGTTCTTCAACCCGAACTGTCTTCTCTCCTGGTCATCAAGTGTTCTGCCTACACCGTGATTTTGGTGCACTGAAACTCTTCTCTCCGTCTGACGACTGTGATAACTTCGACACCACGTTCCACTACACACTATGTACGAGTAGTCTTGTGAATTGCTTCCATCACACTACCATCGACCAGTTGACTTAAACTATGCAGTGAAGTCACTGGCTAAATAGGTTTCTGTTCGATATATTTGCTAACATCTTCAAAAGCTTGTACAAAAGCAAGTAGGATAGGATTAGACTATCCTGAGTACCTCATCCATTCTATTACTTTAGGTTCCTTTAATGTTGCTGCAGGAAACAACATGCTCAGTTCCCAAATTATTTACCACAAAGATCAGTTAGTTGCTTATAACATTCGACTTCCATTCCCTAATTCACTGGTCCGAATCCCGTTCTATCTCCGGTTTGTGCACCCAAACCGAATAATTGTCCTCACAAAGAGTATGGCCTATAGCCTAGTACACGGATTTTTTATTTAGTTAAATTAGTTGCATTATTTACAAGAATATCAAATAAAAAGTTGAGAATTAATTTTCCACTGCTTACGTGACGTGATTTGGATTTGGAAATCGTTTTATCCCATTCTACTAATTGTAGTGGATCTATCACAGTTGACATATTCCTTTGCTAAATTCATTTTACCTCTAGGTTGAAAGACGCATTCTCCAACTCCTTCAATTAGATTCGTTCAGAAATGCAGACGATATAACTCTGTTATTACAAGTTATGGTTCAAGAATGCCTTACAAGGTACACTCGACTGCAGCTTCTCAGCCGTCTGATTAAAACAGAAAACGATGCTTGTCTTAAACTTTTTCGACAGTATAATGGTCTCGATATGTTGGCGGCCTTTATGTGTGATGCAGCGCCGAAAGATTGGGAACTCAAAAAGCAGGTATATGGAAAAATTGTTTTTCTTTGTGCGAAATGTTTTGCTAAACTACTGAGGTATCTCTTTGTGTCTTAAAACTTTTCCGTTTCATCCCTACACATGGTAATTTCCAGTGTGGTGGTTAATTTTGAATTCACTTAGTTCATATAAATAACAAATTTGCTTGTATTTCGGTGTATGCTACTTATGTCGACAAATATAAGCAGTATGTAACACCAGTTGGAAGCGAAAAACCTGGCAGCAGAAGGCTGAGAAGATCGAGTTGAAGAGAATAGAAGGGAAAGTAGAAAGGAATTGTGGGCTGAAAGAATCATACATAATTTGAAGGATAAATGATGAAAATTTTCAAGTGAAGTATTTAGTGTATGGTTCTAATATTTTACCAAGAGATTCTGTATTTAAATACAGTCGGTTGTCCCCACCTATGTTCTCGTTCATTATAATATGTGCATATGCGCTACTTTCACATGCATTTCGCTTATTATCACTTTATTTGCTTGCGCTTCGATATATTTTATACGTTAACAAAATCAAAACCCCATGTATGTTTGCAAATCTATTTCTTTCTAGATATTAGTTTGCTTGAAACACATCCCTGTTTCAGAGCAAAAACAGGTACAGTCGAATTCACGCCTTATGGAAATAGTAGCACAGTGGACTTCCAATCCTCACCACTGTCGGGCACGTAGTATTCCTCCCGAGTCGTGGAAGAGTGCTGATGTACATATAGCAGGTAAAGTTGCTCAAACTGCTGAACTTTGCTTTTAGATACTTCAAATGTTACTTTGGTTAGATTTTCCACTGATGAACTCCCTATGGAGTCGAATTTCGACTCTGATGAAACAAAATCACGTATGTTGGATGATTAAATTGGCAATTTATTTGTTAAAAAGTTCATTTTCAGATTTTATCTAAGTGGAAATAATATATTTGAACCCATAGTTTTATAATCTGTTCATATCAAACAGTAAAAGGACAGATTGTCATATTTTGTTTCAGCTTACCACCATTTTCTGTTCTTCAGAGAGATCAACACAAGAATATCACGAAAAACCAAAAACCAAATAGTAAAATGATTTCCAGTTTAACCAGTTGTTTGCACAATTTACAACAGTACCCAGTTCACAGACCAAGTCTATATTGAGTTCTCCTCAACCAACAGTGGCTGGCCACTTAGTGATAGCTAGTAGTTCGGCATATGTTTCTCATGATCACCCATATTCCCCCTGTCAGTTAGATAGATTTTGGTTATGAATTATATCGCTTACCAATCGTATTAGGTTTATTAATTTGATGATAACAAATACCATACTCAAAAACTAATAATTCTTGCTATTACAGATGCGAACTTTAACATAAGATTTCTAACGATCCTTTACGAACATATTATTCTCAACTAACATTCTGTCTGTTAAAATACAAACTATGGTGAATTTGGTCTTTCTTTTCATCAGGATTCCGAAGACATTTACAAAGCGCTTTTGCGTTTGCTTCAGAATATCCAGTAGGAGAATATATTTTTGGTCTTTAGATTTGGCGGCCTGTCGGTTTATTCATGCCATTCTAACTGAACACTTGATGAGTAGGGTGAAATAGATGCCATAATATTAAAACGAAGAACGAATTGTGAATGAAGTTACAGATGTATTTATGTTGTACAACCTGTATAGTTGTACTTTTAGTAGTGCTAATGAAATTAATATTGCTCTTTGTGAAAGTCAAGATTTTGAGACATTTCCGTGTAGTTCTATAATATTGACGCTTTGAAAACACCCCTACTTAGGGTTATAGAGATTTTCGATTGTAATGTAAATAGGAATTACTTTTCACGTATTTTATCTAAACTCGGTGTTTATCACTGAGATCCGTCCTTCTTCCAGCTATTACTTTGTTCTGTTCCTTCTCGTCCAATGTTTTGTTTCACGTTGAAACTTGATACAAATTAATTTCAGATTGTATTTTCTCTTAAATTTAGGACACTTATTATGGTACTTCATCGGACATCATATTTCTCATGTTAATCTTCACTACACACTATTCTCACAAACTTTTTATTGCTATGGTAAATCGATGTATATACTCTCCTTTGTTTAACTGACTAATTACTCATCAATATGAGGATGCTAACTCTATTTTCCCGTAATTAAACGCTTGTTACTAACTCCCTTGACGCCTCATGTATCTCAGATTACTTCCACATTTGAACCCAAACAGTAGGGGAAAGGCGCAAGATATCATTTAAAGCTTTGCTTCAATGGTCAATCTATTCACAGGAAGTGGGATTTATTCATTGATTTTCATAACCATATAAGTAATATTCCAAACGAGATGTCACGTAGTTCTTTATTTTTCTAGATGTCTTCAACATCTATTTATTGCTGGATGGACAACACGTTTTAAACCTTTTCCGGCTAACACTATAAACGGATATTTATTAACTTTTAACACTAATGAATTATTATCGTTGAATACACTAAAACGTTTGTTTAAAATACTTGGAATAAACCCTGGTCAGAGACTGTCCACTACACCAAAGGTTTGAATATTGGATTCAGTTTTCATTGCTTGTTTGCTAACTAACTTGACATATGCAGCTCATTTATGTATAAATGTTGGGAATTCGATACATCATTTTCAAAGGTTTAGGAACTTTTGATGTCATAATGTATCATGCGCAGCTTCGGTCTTACTAATTTTGGAAGCTGTTCACTTGTGTTTTTTCTATTGTTTCTCTTAATATTGAAAATTTTTTCTATATTCTGTGGCTGTTTCTCATAAAAATCCAAGTGCAAAAATTCACCATAATGTAATTTCTTGTGAGATGATCTACTTTCATTCTAAGATTTACAATATTTACTTTTCATGTTTCAGTTTCTAAGAGTACCAAGGACAATGAATCATCTTCCATACAAACAGGTGATAAGAATAGTGATTTTGCTGCATCACCTTCGAGTTCCGACTCATTTAGTTCTTCCTTGAAGGAGAATGCATCATGTGTGTTGCATGCTTCGACACTCCCAGTTTACGAAGAAGGATTTAACGCTATCACTCAAACTTCGGATTGTGATATGTCCCCCGTAACTGTTGTGGATGATGATAATGGTGAAATTGAAATCGGATATGCAGCCGACAACAACGAAATAAATATGGATACTGAAGAATGTAAAGCTAAGACGAATGAGGAATGGATAGAAGAGATCAAGGCTTTGGCTTGTAAACTGCTTGAAAAATGGTCTAAATTACCGGTAAGTTCTTCACAATCTATAGGATTTACTGGTTATATATTTCATTATCATCATTTACTTCGAACTTGTTTTTATTATAATGCCATTTATATGTTTCTGTGTGTTATGATAGAAGGAAAACTACCGGATACCGCGATTGGAGCGTCAAGAGACCGAGAAAATGCTTCATATATCAAATCCAATTGGTTCTTCTCTTATCTCTTGGGGATCGGAATACAAAGGTCGGTACTGTTTGGAACTAAATGTTTCTGTTCATTTCATAGAACTATTAAAAACTTAAGTTGCTTTTTATGTAAAACCATAGTTAGGGATTGCTTAGACCGAAAAAGGTTTTGATATAGGGGCTTTATGAAGACGTACATTTTCATGGTTTTCATCACAGACCGATTTTAGATTACTATTAAGAACGAGGAAGCACTGGACAACTGCTTCGTCCTAGTTTGGGATTCTTCAGCATTGCACATTCACAACAATCATAACTACATATGACTGCTTATTGTAATGCTTTACTTTTTCTTTGTGTGAATATCAGATTTCTAAGAATGTGTAGGTAAAAACGATTCAAATAACAATATCGAAAGGAGGTTTAAATGAAATGTTAGCTGAGTTTATGATAGCTGTAGACTCGTAAACAAATGTGTGATTCAATAAACAATCTGAAATTCGACTACACCGTATTTTAACATTGATCATAAAGTTATAACAACTAAATATTGTTTCCTTAATTGGTCAGTTATTTTTATTGTTTGGTTTATCAGATGAACAAGCAATATCCAATAAATCTTGGACTCAGAATAGTAACAGTAAATTCCAGTCAAATAAAACGTAAGTTTAAACACGATTATCTACTCTCCATTCATTGATTACCTATGCGTTTTCCCATATTAAATAATTCTAGGGATTTTTTACTCTTTATAAATATACCCAGGGTTTCCAGAACAGTGACAGGATACCAACTGTTTGCCGTTCGAATCAGTCAGTAAAGCATTCAAATTTCATTAAACCTACTATCACTCTTTTATCTTAACTAGTCCTTGCTGGATTGTTGTTGTTTGAGGAAGATTTACGTCTTCAAATGTACCACTTCCGATCACTGGGCATTATACAGTGTTTCTTATTTTATACTTTATGGTTTTTTAAAAAGCTTCCGTATCACGTCATAAAATGAAAAATTATACATAAACGGGCGAAAAGCGGCTATGAATAGGGTAAATGTAAGTAATAGAATGTCAACAAATTTTGAAGGCATGATAGTAGTTAATGCGTTAACCGAAAACTTATCATCAACAGAGTACATAAAGATAGTAACCCAGTTGCTTACTAATCAAACAACAAAATTATAATTAAAAATAATCCGTAAATTAGTACTAAAAATATTCACTTTATTATAATATTAAAAAATTATCTCATACATCGACTCTCTTGTGAACGAGACAACTCAGAGTGATATTTCTAGAATATTAAATGATTTCGTGACATTTGATTTTCACTTCACAACTATAAACATTTAGGGTTAGATACATTGTAATATGTCAATAAAATTTTAGTGATAAAATTATAGGCCGTAAATAAACCATGCTAAGAAATAGCGAATCACAAACCAGTAATATTTGGTTGATTCTCTTTGCATCATTTCACGTTCGTGTTATTTGGTATTCGTTCTTTTCATTGTTTCAGCTATTACTCTGTGCACTTTTAAGTGAATGCGGTCGAAACGATACTGCCCTTTCAAATCTTTTATCTAACATAGCTGTAGAATTGAAAAGCATGCCTGTTGTTTCTACTTTGTTACAAGCCTTACCTCGTATGTTGACTTTGATGTCCAGTTCCAACGATTCAGATTTGGTGAGTTATCCTCTAAATATTTCTTGTTGTGTAACGTTAGTCCCATTAAACAGATACAGAGAACCAGATCGATCATATTTGCATCAATAAAAAATTCAGAAGATCAATGTAAAACTGAAGTTAAATAAGCAATGGACAACTGGAGAAACGAAATTGCGAAGGTCCAATACAACCTTTCTTCGAAATACTGGAAAAAATCAACGGATTCAAGATAACTCTCAGCAATAGGTCCCAAGCCTTACATGATCTACTAAAGGAGGAAGAAACTACTATGAAGGACAACTGGAAAGAAATCAAAGAAGCATTAACTTCAACGTGTCAGGAGGTTCTGGGCTGCAAGAAGCATCATCATAAGGAATGGATCTCTATAGAAACACTGGACAAGATCAAAGAAAGGAAAAACAAGTAAACGGCATTTAACAACAGCCGAGCACGAGCAGAAAAAGTCAAAGCACACGCGGAATACACAGAAGCAAACAAGCAAGTGAGCAGGAGCATTAGAGCCGACAAGCAGAAATATGTGGGAGACCTAGCAACGACAGCTAAAAAGGTGCAAGAGATGGAAGTATGAAACAAATATATGACACAACAAAAAAGCTGGCAGAGAAATATTGCAATCTAGAAAGACCGGTCAAGGAAAAAGAAGGGAAGCTAATTACTGGAATTCGAGAACAGAAGAAAAGATGGGTAGAACACTTTCACGAACTCTTGAATACTTCAGGTCCACTGAATCCACCGGACATCGAAGCAACACACACAGACCTTCCTATAGATGTCACTCCGTCAACGATCGAATAAAGCAGGATGGTCATCAAACAAATCAAAATTGAGAAGAGAACAGGACCACACAACATACCAGCTGAAGCACTGAATTCAAGCACAGAAGTAACTGCAAAGATGCCTCATATTCTATTCAGAAAGATTTGGAAGAAGAACAAGTGCCAACAGACTAGAAGGAAGGATACCTCACTAAGATACCAGAGAAAGTAGATCTGAACAAGTGTGAGAACTACAAAGGCATTACACTACTATCAGTACCAGTAAAAGTTTCAACAGGGTTCTGTTCAATTTAATGAAAAACTCAGTAGACATACAACATCGAGATCAACAGGCCGAATTTTGTAAGGACCAATCATTCACAGACCAAATAGCAGCAATATGGATCATTTTTGTGCAATCTGTAGAATGGGATTCGCCACTATAGATCAGATTTCTTGACGGCGATGGGGGAACCTTTTGAAACCACCCTTGACACTAGAGGAAGAGTAGCTTAGAAGATCGTCAACATCATATGGAATTCATACGATGGGCTGTATTGCAAAGTCGTGCATGAAGGACAACTGGTAGATGCATTCCAAGTGAGGAGCGGTGTCAGACAAGGCTGCTTATTCTCGCGCTTTCTTTCTTCTTGTGGTTGACTGACTGGATTATGAGGACCTACATATCTCAGGAGAAGCACGTAATACAATGGACAGTTTAGATGCAAATAGACGATTTGGACTTCGCAGATGATTCAGGTCTTCTATGTCACACGGCAACAGATGTAGATGAAGACGGCCAATGTTACAGCAACGTCTACAGTAGTGAACCTCAACGCAGAAGAGGAATGCCAATGAACACATTACGTCGGGAAATAGAAGCATATATGTAAAGGATGAATAACAATTGGAAAGAGCTGTAAGGCATTGCCCAGGACAGGGTTAGATGAAGAGTTCTAATGGGCTGCCTATGATCCTCAACGAAGCGTAACAGGCGTAAATAAGTAAATATATCAAACCAGACTTTATTGTAATGAACCATGCAAACTCCTAATTAGCTGTTGAGTTTACTACGATTGGAGTAGTTGAATGCCTAGACTACATGCATTGATTGATACTGAAGACATAAATTCATAAAGAGACACTTGAAGCGCGCACAAATTAAATGAAAGATTTTAGCTCCTAATCATACTAGTAAATAAGAAAGGATTAAGCGAAAGAGGCGTCTCAAACATCCAACTCAGTATAACGACTTCCCTCTAAGTCAGTCCGAAGCGTGGCTCTGATACATATCACGGCGGCACGGGAAAAATACACCAACAAAACTAACAAGAGAGTATCATAAGACCACTGAAAACAACCGTATCATTGGTCACCATTATACACACTTTATTCGACACAGACACAAACGAGCAAATGAGGAGGCATGAACTTGGCACATATACCCCATCGCTACTAACAAAAAGGACCAGCTGATGGCTTTTCAGGCGGAAAATAGCTCCTTTAACACCTAAAACCATGAATAAAGATCTCAGATAAAATTTGATGATTTATCTGATGTTGTAGTGTTGGGGGTAGCTTATTGGAAATTCAGTAAGCTTTTGATAAAAAAACAGTGGGACAAATATTTTACAGTGGACGGAATAAACACCACTCCAACAGTACAATGTTGCAGTACAAGAGGCGTAGAGCATGTGGTGTTTGAATTAATTAATGATTCTTTTGTACTTGTTGAATGCTAGATCTCGAATTCTAAATACAATACATTCGTTCGTGCTTGTGTCGTAATTCTTGATTCAATTGCGTTAATTCTGGGGTTCTGTTATAACCCAGTGAAGATTAAGTGACAGGTGACTTCCGAGGACTGTTAATAGACTAATATTCTATAAATATTCTTATTGTTTAATTGTCCAATAATTATCATTGTTAAGTCTAATGGTGTCCTTAGAATTTAAATGGACATTTCCTATTGGCCAATATTTATTTCACTTGTCAAATATTGTTTTCTATTTTATGGTACGATATGGTTTGTTTGATTAGTATATAAACAGAGTATGTATGTAATAAACGATTCGATTCGATTCATATTATAGAAGCTGGTATTGTGTTCTGGACTCAAGCGGAAGGGCTAGGAGGACATAGGACCAATAAGGACGCTAAACTGCTCATACGGTTGAACGTCATTGGTTTGGCATAATGCGAAATTGTATAAGTCGTATTCTGAATGGTCGATAAGTCGCGTGATAGAAAAGCCAGACATCAAGGTCATAACAGATTCATAGTTGATACGATAATTCAAATTCTTTTCAAATATTATACTGGCGTCGCGATGGAGCCTACGATGGAAAAGTTAGATAATCATTCAACTCCTGAAGCTTTTGAGGATTATTTTGAACGGTTCGAAATCTGAGCTATGACCAAGGAAGATGCTGAGGATTTTAATATTGTGGTACATTTCCTCATATTCATCGGAAAAGAAGCATATAGCTTATTAAGAACTCTGGCTATGCTGGGAAAGCCTATCTCGCTTCCTTATACAACTCTCAAGGAACTGCTGCTAGACTTTGTTTAGTATACAAATTTTGAACGCAATAAAGGAAGATTTTGTAAAGTGATTCATGAGGACATAAAAAATTCCACCACATTACGTCATCCCAACCCAGTGCATACTCAAGGCTATGCAGATAATTCATTGAGGAGTTGCAATGCATTTCAAAAAGATGGGCACAAGTTTGGTCAATGTTTGTCCTGTGGCAAGTTCCACTCTTTTAACTCATGTAAATTTCGTAACTCTGAGTGCTTTAAATGTGGTGATATTGGACATATTCAGTCAGTCTGTAATACTAATGTTCATCTTGCTGTAGCTAATATTCAGTCTTGTAATTCTGATTCTATTATGTTGAGTATTTATAATGATCATTTATCTTTACCAACGATTTCAAAAGACAATGTAGAATTATATAGCAGTTAAGAGTTAAGTGAAACGAAGAGTCCTTGTGAGACAACGGTTTCTAATCAATCGGCTTATCAGATTTCTCATGTTATTGTACAAGACATGGTTTTTCCTATTAGTTCACTTATTTCTGACGAAATTCCTTGCAAATCTGAGGAAAATATGTTGAATGAACCTAGTCATGATAGAAAACCTGACGCAGTCTTGATAGATGCTGATTTTTCTAATGATCTTTTACTCTGCAATGAGATTCTTAATAAATTTGAGGAAACTATTTATAATACTTTGAATTCTTTGAATTATAGCACGAACTAAGAGTCCCAGAAATAACGCAATTGAATTAAGAAGTAAGACACAAGCACAAACGGATGTATTGTATTTGGAATTCGAAATCAAGCATTCAACAAGTACCAAGGTATCATTGGTTCATTCAAACACCACATCCGCC